AGGCAGAAATCGCTTTATAAAAAATATCCCATTTGGTGGAAGAAAATCACAAATTGACAAATGCTGATTTTCTTGCAGAAGGCCATCATCGGTGACATCCATTTCAGAGCACGTCAGTTTTCATTTTCTATCAAAGCCTGCATAACCACAGTTGAATAAGCTGCTGTGTAAACACAATTCAAGGGAGACAGATGGGATGACAAATTTCAATTCTATTTCCCTGAATGACTTAATAGTGTCGTTCCCTGGAAAACAGTGGCAGGTAGAAACTGTTGAGGGAAGCCCTTAGGGCCCTCAGAGAGAAAAAGATCCCTGGCAGGAAGTATAGGGGTTGGGTCCAGCTGTCATCCATGAAATATCGATCATTAAGTCCCTCTCCCCCTTGTCATTCTCTCCTTGTAGGCCACTTTAATGTCCTTCATGCTCACCTTTTATCCCCCTTGACTTGTTTCTCTCCTGTCCTCTTAAGTACTGACCTTCCCATGTCCTCCATGTTGGACTGTATTCAACAGCTTCAGTCCAGCTTCAGAAAGAAATTACATTTAGTAAAGAAGTTCAGCTTTTTAAAGTTGTATTCCTTAAAATTTCAGTCCTTGTATTAGTAAGTGCAATTTAATCCTGCAGCAAACATCAGCCAAACAAACTCACGTTATTTTAATAAAGTCAGTCAATCATAATAATCAATAATAATTGTAACTGTGATCTGATTTTAGGCTGCATGTAGCATGAGTAGTTTTCGGTACAACCAACAGTAAAGTTGGTTACATTACTGAGAAATATGAGGTGTGCAGCCTGATTCCTCTCATCTTACAGCTAAAATATTGATAATAAATTGATAGATAGTATCAAAAATGGGGTTTGATTTCAGGATTCTAATAACATATAGTATGTTCAGTAGGAGAGTACGTCAAAGCTGAAGCATTTTAGAGAGTTGAGGTGCACAAACAACTTGAGAGGTACTCTCTTTGCTGCAAGGATATGGAACATTGTGAAGAAAATCTGGTTTGTCCTGCTGTCATGGTACACGATCCACCTGCCACTTTATGTTAGCTGATTTTAATGCAGTCTACATTATTACATTTTTTTTCTCTTTGCAGTGTTGACACAATTTAATTCCTTGCTCAGTACACTCTAAATGAACCTTCCTAGACGATTCTTTGCACTCAAGGCGAGCAAATGATCAAAGAATTGTTGGCCTTGCAGAGTGTATTTCTCATGTCTGTGATTAAGTGTTTTGTGCCCCTTACTTCATCCCGCCTCCCCCGGCCCCCTTTTTAGGATGAAGCTGGAATAATTGAAAAAGGAAAACAGCAGAAAAATGGTATTGTTTCTACGTCAAACCCTCCAGTCGGCTTAGGTAGGGTAGTAAAAGGAGGTGAAAGGAGAGGAGAAAATAGAAGGAGGGAATCGTGGAAGGCAGCACGTGTACTGTAGGAATTGAGGGAAGAAGGTATAGATGGGAAACAAATGACGAGGGGTGGAACTGTAGGGCTCTGAATCCTGCTCTCACCTTTCCTTGAACCCCGTCCTTCCACCTTCAGGCCCCTTTATTCAATGAGCCTTGTGGCTCTTTCCAGTGCTAGTCACCCAACCATAATGATCCATCATTGATCCATGACAGAGGGACTTCTCTCACCACTTAAAGCCACTTTGTGTGTGTGTATGTGTGCATCCATATGTGTGTGTGTGTGTGTGTGTGTGTGTGTGTTTTCTTGCTAATTTGCAGCTCCAAAGATGTTGTCAGGCCCGTTCAGGTCTGGGCAAGCCCCAGAGTTTGACTGGGTTACATTCATCATTATCGCTCCGAGTTAATGGCCACACACTGCCGTTGTACAGTTTGCCCGTGCACACAAGTGGGATGATAGGGATCAACATAATGGTGTTTAACAGAAGCTTTTACACACCTGGAGCTGTCAGGCAGAGAAATGAGGGAGTGGATTTTTTTTTTTGTGGTTAGATATTTAAAAATAGGTAGGTTCATGCTGTAATATCCTGTAATATTATCTTCAGTGATTATCTTCAATTCACATAAATCCTCAAATCCTCCTCTAAACCTGTAACACCACATTGACTCAGTAATTTCTCAAGTATTGTAATTTTTTTGATAAATTCAAATCCGAGCATTGAGCTTCTATTATTTGATAACTTACATGAACATGGTGTCAAGTGAAGGTTAAAAATAAGCATGTCTTATTGTGAAATTGCAGTTAAGGCATGGGAATGGAAACTCCTATTGTTGATCCAGTGGTAACATACAGACCTCAGTGCACTTAAGTCAATGTAAATATCCTTAGTAGACTGTTATTTTCGCACAGCAATGATGCCAATGGCATAAGATTAGATAAGGCAACGGAATAAATTCTTCATGCCCATCATCATTACCATCATCATAATGATACCCTCCATCACTTTTCTATTACACCTTCTTGCCATCACTATCAATTATCCCCACAACCACAAATCACCAGGACAGAGCTCGTACATCTCTCACCGGAGTGTATCCTGACGAAGATTGAGGTGTAATTGTGCGCTGGTGGCAGGGGATATAAAACTCGAAAAAAATAAAGAAGGGAAAATCAATGCCTTAACTAAAGGAGCAAGTGAATTATTGATGAGGAGAATGTAATGGGATCCCAAGTGTCTATTTCTCCCAAACTGGGAGAAATAGACTGGGATGGCTTGCTGCTCAGGCTGCTACAGTCGTAGTCAGAGAAGTAGAAACAAGGAAGGTGCCAAAAAACACCCACGAACATCTCCACAGGCAGATTATCTTACCTGAATTATCTGGTGCAGTTTAGCTGGGGTCATTCCTATGTTCCCAGGGTCCTATGTTCCCCAGATTTATATGACACATAATGGGAACATGGCAAAGGGCCTCAGTTCTAGAGGTAGAGATAGGGTTAGGGGATTAGGGACCCTTGGATTATAGATACAGCTAATACATATTCCAACCCACAGGCAACCCTAAATTCCCTAGTTCCAGCCATTAATTTGCGCCACCCTTGCATTACTGTAAATGTACTGTTCATGATTTTGCCATCTATGGCGTCAAATCCCACATCGTTCCTCACTTCACCTCTCTGTCGGTTTGGTGTCCGTTCAACACAGCTCGATACTTTTCCCGATTTCGCATTAGCAAAGAGAGCAACAATAGATCAGAGAGACAGGGCTTTCCTGAAATGCACTATCGGAGAACAAGGCACAGCTTGTTGAGTTTGAACAGATCATAACAGATTGGATATTGGATTTTTTTCCCCCCACTGTCTGAATGAAAAGTGACATTCCTAGTAAGTACATGTAGGTCTGCAAGCTTATCTTTACTGATTAATCTGGGTATTCATTTTTTGATTAATCTGGATTGATATTGATTCATCAGAAATCGACATGAAGGTAAAGGTGACATATTAAGATTTTTTAACACGTCCAACCAGTCGAAACAATTTAATAATTCACAGAAAATCCTCACATTTGAAGAGTTGGAATCAGCAGTTTTTTGCTGGATAAAGGACGTCAGTTATAAATTGAGCCATTTTGCAGCAATTCACAACGTTTCAACACCACTTGAAGATACAAAAACATTCACAAACACATTACAGTGCGCACAGTTTGTGTTTCCATATACATATAGATACTGCCGCATCTACAGACAAACAGACAAATATATGTAACACTTATGTAGAGCATTAATCTGTCCCTGTTGAGCGGTGTAATAACTCTGCGTTTAGCTTTATATCTTTAGTCGTTGGATTTAATTCTGATTTGTGGATTGAAGAAGTTGTAGGACCGTCAAGTTAAAGGACCCCCGCTGAAAACTTGTGTGGATAAACTGAAAAGCCACGGTGGTCCAGCTTAATACAATACAGTCTTTCTTAATTTCTCCAAAGCTTTCACACATAAATCCTTATTTCCTTCCTTACTATCCTTTTGAGGGTGGAGAAATCAGAGGATGAATTGTTTACCCACATCACCAGTGTGCTGTTTGTTTTATTGCAAGCAGAGAAGGCAGGCATCACTTCTGCTTGGCTGGAGAAGAGGTAGAAACGGGGAATGTCAATGAGAGGTAGAGAGAGAGAGCGGCCAGGTGAGACCTGAAAGCTGCCTTTGTGTGGCAGTTGGCAGTACGAACACTGCCCTTCACTGTGAGGTGTTCTACACACACACACACACACACGCTCAAGTGTACTGTACATGTTGGGGAGTTATGGGGGGATGTTTGGCAAAAATATGAACGCTGAAAAACCGTTGCAAATTTACAACTGTAACAAAAAAGAATTCACTCAGACGCTCCAAGGTGAACCAACGTTTCAGTGCCATAAAATGGCTCTGTTTTCCTTCTGCGTTTCCACATCTCCATTTCAGATGCTAAACACTCTCTTATTTTCTCCTCCACTTCACCTCAACTGTATCTGGCTCAGTTCAACTGAAGCCTGAAGAGCATGATAATATCTAGTCCTGTCTGCTGCTCCAGGTTTAACATACCCCCGCAAAAGACTATTCCAGAAGTCAGTACACATCACAGCACATGTAAGCCTGAAAATATTAATCTTTTTCACAGGAATATGGAAGCCAGAGAGGGACAGAGATAAAGGGAAGGTGGACTTCATGAAGATATGGCTCTGATGTGTGGCTAATCAGGGATGGATGCCTTTTTGTGAGAGTTTCTCATTTCTCTCTTCATGAGCTTAAGCTGAAGAGGGATTTTAACAGTTTAAAATTCTCTACTGCCTGTGAAACATTACCCAGCTGTGCTACTGTATTGCTATTTGATTACATGTGTGTTTGTGTGTATTGAATGTGATTGGGGTTGCATATTACATACATCTGTTCAAAATGAAAAGCGAATGAAAGCTCATACCCATTGGACTATCAAAACTGTTAGCGATGGCATCTCTCAAGACAGCAGTTCTACAATTAATCACAGATTACACCCCGTGTTGGTTGCAGAATGGCAACTCTGTCTGTGCACTGATCGGTATTCTTGTTTGTTTGCTTCTCCCCAGGAGGGGCCCTGCAGACAGGAGTCGCGCCAGGCACCATGAGGCTGCAAGCTTGGCCTGAGAGAGCAGCGAAATCCCCCTTCATCACTCTCAACCAGGCTGGGCAGCGTAAGAAATGCACACAGAAGCACCAGCAGCAGCAGCGCATGCCACGGCAGAGACAGGCTAATACACACATCTGAGAGTACAGTGAAGAGCAAATGGGGAAGGCAGAAAGAGGGTGAGTGAGGGGAGTCAGTAACTCAGATTGCGTCATCCTAAATGGCAAAGTGGACTGGGCCACACTCAGAGGCAGTGATGTCCTTGTTAACACATTGTCCTCCGTTAGAAGCTCCTTGTTAGAAATCACAAATCAGCCCCCCGCCCCTGTGAGGCCACCGAGCTGAGGGGCAGAGGAGGAGAAAAAACAGAGGACGAGAGAGAGATAGAGCGGAAAATAGAGACTGTGACAGGCCCCCATGCAGGCCCGTAAGAAGTATGTTCTGCTGGGCTTGTGTGCGTGCTGCTGGCTGGTCCTCTTTTACTGGGGCGGAGGAGTCCAGCTACGTCTGTTCCGGCTGCTGACACGGCAGCGGGGTGAAGTGGTGCGCCCCTGGCCCAACTGGACCGACAGGGCCTTCCTGCCCCGCTATGCCCACCTGGATGAGCTCCAGACGGACCCCGGGACGGCCGAGTCGCCCCGCCAGCGCCGGCAGGCATGGTCGGCCATTTATAAGGACAGTCGCTGCCGCATGGAGACCTGTTTTGACTTCTCGCGGTGTCGCCGTAGAGGCAGGGAAGGGTTCAGAGTGTATATATATCCATCAGAGAAAAATGACCGCGTGTCAGAGAGCTACAGGAAGATCCTGACGTCTATAGGTGAGTCACGGTACTACACATCAGACCCCCGTGAAGCATGTCTGTTCGTCCTCGGGATAGATACCTTAGATCGGGACCAGCTATCAGGACAGTTTGTGCCCAATGTGGATGAACGTATACGTGGTTACCCGCTGTGGAATGATGGCCGGAACCACCTGATCTTCAACCTGTACTCAGGCACCTGGCCTAACTACACAGAGGACCTGGGCTTCAACATCGGCCAGGCCATATTAGCCAAAGCCAGCCTCAACACAGAGCATTTCAGGCCGGGCTTTGACGTCTCCATCCCGCTGTTCTCAAAGGATCACCCGCAGAAGGGTGGAGAACGGGGCTGGCTGGTGAGGAACACCATACCGCCACGAAGAAAGTACCTGCTGATGTTCAAAGGAAAGCGTTACCTGACGGGCATCGGCTCAGACACCAGAAACGCCCTACATCACATCCACAATGGGAAGGACATTGTGTCGCTGACGACGTGCCGCCACGGAAAGGACTGGGAGAAGCACAAAGATGCCCGCTGTGACCATGACAACCTGGAATATGAGAGGTAAGACAGGGGTCACATGGCCAGTGGGGAGGGCGGTAATGAGGTGCCGTTCAAATGAGAAGCGAAATGTGTTGCTGTACAGGGATTTAAAGGAAACCGTTGTCAAGTGTAATATTTTTTTATTAGGAAATACACCATGGTGTTGTTCCATTTGCCTTCTTATTTGAACTTTACATGCTGTTTTATTGGTCTTTTAGATGTCACTGATTTTCTACAAGCCCTGTGAGTGGTAGCTTTTGAGTCCCAGTGGTTATTCCAGTCTCTCTTTTATGGTTGCACAATTTTTGACTATTTAGGTTTATGATGTTTGGCAGTTGCTTTTGAGATCAAAGATTTTAGACACAAACTCAAGTCTCTGGAAATTTAGATTCAGGTCACTATTTACAGCAATTCTTCTATTCTTGTCTTATGTATTGTTAAAAGTAAAGCAAACAGTGGTTGTAATGTATTCAACTTGTATAACTGAGCTCTTCCATTATTCAGAGTGTAAATAAATCTTACAGTATGATAGACAAACAAATAAGTATTCAGCCAAACTTGCATGCGCATACAGTTATTTCCATTTTGTACTTGGGTGTTTGTAAGACAAAGAAATAAACATAGCCACGGCTAATTAATTACGACGGAAACTACACTGGGTAATGAGCCAAAGCAAAGGTCACAACAAAGAATGGCTTTGTGAAATCTCTGATTTCCTCAGTGAATAAACTGCTGCTGGGTGTAAGGTGTAAATGATTATTATTTTTTGAATCATTCTGTTCATTTTTATAAATATTCTCTTGCTGTTGTTGTTGCATGGAAGAAGAGCTTGCCATTTCCACTTTAATGTAAATTATATTGCGGAGTTTACTGATTAGATGGTGGGTGGAGTGGATAAAAGACATTGGGAAATTGGATTCCAGCTACATCTGCAATACTTAGGGCAACAATGTATTATTGAAACCAATTACTTTCCGCATTTGACCTTTGCTGGGTTTGAAAACAGTTTGTACAAAGGCATATATTATTGCACAATATATATTTCCACATCATTCCTATGTACAGGCCTTTTCACAGAGTGGTTTCAAGTATGTGAGCACCATTGTTGAGTTAATAAAAGCGTTAGGAAACACCCATCTGCTATTACATGTTGCAGCAGCTTGGTAAACATGTCTCATCCTCCGAGTACTCCTACTGGCTTATTAGAGCTCAGACAGTGATTTAAAAACAGATGGAAATAGATGCACGTACTCAAAACACACAATAGGAACTTTTTGTAAAATGTCATTCACATTATGCTGTGGTGTAAACTGTGTTGACACTGCCTCAGATGTGTTGGATTTAGCAGCTCAGTGTTGCAGTGCGTGCAGACCCTGAATGGTGAGGGTGGAGGTCCTGTATGTTGGCGGTGGGAGTGAGGAAGGACTACTGAAGTTTTATGCAAAGTCATTATCTTCTATTATTCTATTCTGTAGTAATTACATAGTTGATATAGACAAACTATACCGCCCTGTAATCCCTCTGTTTCACTCATACTTGCTCAACCTACTCTTTGCAATAAAAGTCTCTGAAGCTGAAGTGCTGACAGGGCTCCTCATTATAAAGTCTATGCGCCTGTCCATTCATACATGGATACCCAGAGCAAGATAGTTTGATGGTGCAGAACATCCGCAGACAGGAGAAGATGGATTTCAGTGAAAAAACAACAAAGAAAGAATGAAAATAAAGAGTTAGAGCCACACCAAACTGTCTATTAAATTTCCCCCTGACATGGTAGACTCCTTCACAGTGTATGACTAAGAAAAAAGGACTATCAACAAAGTCATTATTCCATTAAGTTTGGAGGTAATTAATCCCTCAGCTGATTCGACAAACAAAAACCTAAATAAACAGTAATGGAGGATTGAGGCACTTTTATAGGAAAACTAAAGCTTTAAAAATGTTCTAGGTCTCAGATCAAACAGAATTTGTCTGTTTTATTGCCAAAACTCGGCAAAACTAAGTTCGTCCGTGTGCGAATAGCGTGGCGCTGAAGGCTTAATGGCGTTCTCGTTGGTGAATTATTCAAACCGCTAACGTGCTAGCCAGCCGAGAACATGCTAGCACTAGTTAGTCAGTCTGACCGTTAGTGACGATAAGTTCACACACACATTTGTAACTGTCGAGTAATACTCCAGCACAGGAGGTTTGAATTTATGAACTTTCTTCACCTTTAAGCAAACTAAAATGTAAGTGAACGTTCAGCAGTAGTCTGAAGCTCAGAATTCTTTTCATTATTAATTCATTTGCTTATTATTTTCTTAATTTACCTATTAATTGTTGAGTCCATTAAGGTTCAGAAATTCATCCATAATTTAAACACATTTCTATAGTATTTTTCTGCCATTTGACAAATGAATGTACTGTTTAGCAGACCTAAGATCATTAAAGTCAGAAGAACTGCAAACTAGAAATTTTACTCCGGCACATTTCTATTATTTTTATTTTATTTTTTTAAACTGCGTCTGTATCACTGAAATGCTTCTCCTCTGTAGGAGTGACTGAAACTTTTCTGGCACAAGTGAAGCCAACTGCTAAACCCCAATTTAGACCTAAGCCTCTGGGAGGTGGAAGTTGTTTTCAGGTGCTGTCAAATGAATGCTCAAAGCAAATGCCATTAAACGACACAATATGACTTTTCAAATATCGTTTACCTCGGGATCAGCAGTTACGAGGCGGTTCTGATCCAAGCACACTCCTCGCTGCCGTGGCCTGTAACTAGCTAGGGTTGTTTACATTGGGCCGGGCAGCAAAAGGGATGGAGCTGCTCAGCACTGTATGAATGAGCTCATTTATTCCACACAGCCCACTACTCAGACACCCGGGTGGGCAGGGGGTGTGTGGGGGAGGATGGGGTGGGTGGGGAGGTCCCATGTGGTATTCTGCAGTAGATTTGGACACGGCAACGGCTCCGAGGGTGTAAGGGTGTGAATGGGGGAGGCAATGTGAGGGACAGCTGCTGTTTGTAAGAAAAACACAAAAAGCTGGATGATTTTCTTCCCCCCCTCTCTCCCCTTTTGTATGAAGTCTCTTTCTCTGGAAACGAGAGGCATTTAGCCTGGGAGAGAGAGGTGTGAAGGAGGGATCCATCTCTCTTTTTTGCATCCTTTGAATCGCCCTTGGGAAGAGAAGAAGGGGATTTCAGAGGCGAGAGCATGAGAACCTGGGAGACCGTGAAATACAAATGAATGGAAGAAAAAGAAAAAGAGGACAATAAACAGACTGCACGAGCAAGGTTTCTGTCGGAAAACCAAGTTGGGGCCAGGTAGAGACACGCCCTTGCCCTGCCATCTGTCTACTGTTTTGACATATTCTCCCTCTCTCTTATGTCTTTACTTCAATCTCTCGATACTTTCCTTTCACTCCCCTCTCTTCTGTTTTTGCCAAAAATCCTGCACCTGAAAAGCCGGTATACTATAAATAATAGCCCATGTCACCAAGCGAGCATGTGTCCTGTGTGTGTGACTGTCACTGCTATATATGCATAAGACTGGGTGTGTGTGTGTGTGTGTGTGTGTGTGTGTGTGTGTGTGTATGTGTGAGAGAGACTGTGTCACGGTCAATGAGGCTCTTAGAAGGTGGCACCAGGTTAATGAGCACATGCATCTGGTACACCAGCAGATTAGCCCTGAGGGACCTGGACAAGACAGCAACCAACAGACAAAGGGCACGAGGAGGAGGAGGAGGAGGGGGGGACTCAGATGGACAGATAAACAGACTGTCATGACATTAATTGTCTGCCCAAATAAAAACATGATCATCCCACCCCCTGTCTTAGACAAATTTGAAAATGAATAGGGCTGTAAAGTAATTGTCTCCAAGACACACACATTGTTTTTTTTACACTGAACTTCATATAGTTTATTTTATTTTTTTATAGATAGGTAGATATTGCATAATAATAATAGTTCATAATAATAATTATTATTTAGTTTGAGTTCTTCTATACCCCTTTGCAGGAGACACTGTAACACTACAGCAATGTGTGAAAAAACACAGCTCCCTTAGTCATTGCAACTATTATATTTTTTATAAAGTAATCTGGTGGCAATTTCTCCAATTAATTAATCGTTGAGTCCAGAACCTAAAGTTATTCAATTTACAATGATATCAAACAGATAAAAGCAGCAAATCCTCACATTGGACAAGCGGTTTAACTGATAAATGACTTAACAATTAATCGATAATCAAGACAGTTTCCGAAGGATTTTCTGTCGACTAGTCATTTCAGCTCTAATTCATTTCAATGAGGCTACTGAGTAGATGCATTAGGGGAGCAAAAAAGTTTAACCTGGCCCAACCTTTGCAACAATGCAACATTATCCAGCAAGATGCTCCTCCGGCCAATCAAATAAGAGCAAATTTGTTCGATTACTTTTATTATTATAAACCGCTGTGCAGTGTTTGGTGTCTGATAAGCCTTCAAATGAATGGATCTATTACTCAAACTGATCTATTACTCCTCCTATTTCATTGTCTGTCTGTTAACTGGAACAACCCGCCCATACCAATGCAGCTCCTTATGTTTATTTAATGCAGACCTGTTTCCAGTCAGGATGGCCACTATACATTGGTCTACTAACCGCACATTGCAATACATATGAGCAAGACGGGCTGGTTTACCCAGGTAGCAGGAGGCATCATGTACCTGAGATTTCTGCATTTAGTCCAATACAGTGGACAGGAATGGGATTTGCGGTCCTCACAGCATTGAAAACAGCAGTGGCAGCATCCGTTTTTTCTAGAAACAGCATCCCAGTTACTCTCTAATCCACAGACCATTCTATTTTACAGGTTTCTTAGTGGATATTCCTGTGTGGTCTGTGGATTATCCTGAATCATCCATAACAAAGACGTCTATTCACCAAAACAAAGTAGTCTGCAACTCAGGAAGACATGCAGTCCCCCACTAAGGCTGACTGCTAGTGCAGGTTTAAACCGCATCACTGCCAGTCACTACTGAAGACGGCAGTGTAAAGCTG